AGTTGGGAAAATTTTCTTCTATGATTTTTTTGAAAATATTTTCTGGACCTTGGAGCCTGGAGTCTTCTTTTTCATCAATTCCTATTATTCTTAGATTTTGTCTTTTCATAGCATCCTTGATTTCTTGGATATTTTGTGATTGGAATTTTTCTGATTTTACTTTTTCTTTGAGAGAAGTATCAATTTCTGCAAGTGTGTCTTCAGCTCCAGAGATTCTCTCTTCCATCTCTTGTATTCTGTTGGTGATGCTTACTTTTGTGGTTCCTGATCTTTTCTCCAAGTTCTCCAGCTCAAGAGTTTTCTCATTTTGTGTTTTCTTTATTGATTCTAATTCTGTTTTCATGCCTTGCACCATTTCTTTTATGTGTTTGAATTTGGATTCCTGTCTCTCTACGATGGATCCTATTTCTTTGTTCATTTCCTTTTTGTATGCCACTAATTTTTTCTCTACTTGTGCCTCTATTTGTTTGGCTATGTTTGCCTGTGTTTCTTTAAGGGTTTTGTCTATTTCTTCTTTCTTTACCTCCAATTGACTGGCCAACTCTTTGAAAGATTTGTTCATTTCCTCCTTATGAGCCTCAAATAATTGAGCAAGCATGGCTTTAAGGTCATTTTCCTGTGCTTCTGATGAATTGGAGTATCCATCGATTTTGGGGTGTGCTGGTGAAGTCATGATGTCCTGATTTATGTTGGAAGTGTTCTTTCGCCTACCCCTGGCCATTGGCTTATCTGAGACCTTCCCTGTTTGTTTTTGGATTCTGCCGATCAGACTGGTACTGTCTCTCTCTCGAGTCTGGAGAATTCTTCAGGAAGTTGAGAGAGGTCCCGTGTCCTTAGCGTATGCTGAGGACTAGCTGTACCTGTGGGAGGAAAGTACGCAGGCGCAAACAGAGGCAAATGCAAGTGTGCGTGCGTGCGTGTGTATATGTGTGTGTGTGTGTGTGTAAGTGGGTGTGGGCGTGTGTCTCGAGGGACAGAGTGATGGCTAATGTTGAACCCTTGAGTGTGTGGGAGGGGCTCTGCAATGTATATGTCGCAGGCGCTAGTGATGATCGCAGCGCAATTTCTGGCATTAACTGCCTTAACTCCTCAATTAGACCCACAGAGCAGGAACTTCAATGTTCCAAGTGCCCCTCTGTTTCCCAAAGTGGGTATATGGGTCGGAGGGGGTTCAATGCCTGGCTTCTGTTTTAGAAGAACCCAGGATCAGTGGAGCTGCAGATTCTCAAGGGTGCACTCACTTACAGGCAGGACACTTGGCAGAGATCGGCGTATCTGGGCTCTCTGCTCTCTGGTTTGGCCCTGCTTCTTTGATGTGCTCTGCCAGTTCCGTGCTGCTGTCACTGCCAGGTTATGAGGTCTTGCTGCAGCTGGAGATTTCAGGGTGGTCACGTCAGTGTGAATCGGGGTAACCAGCCTTTCTGTTCTCTGGTTTGGCCCTGGTTAGTCTTAAACTGGAGGGCTGATGTGCCCCGCCAGCTCAGTGCTGCTCCGCCGCCAGGTTAGAAAGTCCCGCTGTAACTGGAGACTAGGTTGCTAGTCCAGATGCTTTCTGGGAAGTCCTGGGGTCTCTTTACTGTGCTCTCCAAGCTTCGGAGGCCCAGCGCCTGGTGTGTCTAGCTTGTATGGCGTTTCTGTCTGGTTTTGGTGAGTATATAGCGTATTCTCTGTCACTGTGGGATTGGGCGGGCCGTACCATCAGTGATGGCGCTCCTGCGGAGCTAGTATGGCGTCTAGCAGACTCGGGCCCTGGGAGGATGGTGCAGCCGCCGCGCGTGAATCTGGGGCTCCGAGACACAGTACTGCTGGCCTTTGCCGATAAAGGGCTTGGGGCTCCGCCTCAGTGGCTGCAGGCCCCAGGCAGTTAGGTCTGCGCTGAGAAAGGCGAGTCCGCTGTGCCGAGGAGGAGAGAGGTCTGGGGGAGGGGAGTGCCGAGAGATCAAAGGATCGTTTCTCACCTTCCCCAAACAAGTCCCTGGGTGACCCAAGACCAAGGTTTTCACCTCCTGCGATGTTCCCTGTTGTTTAGAAAGTCTCTCCGTTGTTTCCCTGGCTTCAGAAGTTCTTCCACTCATCAACTCAGAACTTTATCTCTTCCACAGCTCGGAAACTGTGTGTGCTAGTCGCCATCTTGGCTCCGCCCCCTGTTTGTTTGTTTTTTAAGACAGGGTTTCTCTGTATAGCCTTAGCTTCCTGGCCCCACTCTGTAGACCAGGCTGGCCTCGAACTCACAGAGATCCTTCTGTCTCTGCCTCACCAAGTGCTGGGATTACAGACATGTACCACTTCATCCAGATCAAAACAATTCTTATAAGCAGAAAGAATCCAGAAATTGCGTTGTATAATTTGTGCTGAGGCTGCTATGATAAAACACTGTGGGTCTTAAAAAGTTTGTTCAACATAAGTTAATTCTTTCATTGTTCTAGAGTCTGAAGGTCTGTGATGAAAGTGTTCATGGGGTTGGTTTCTCCCAAAGCATCTCTACAGAGTCACAATGTCCATTATGTCCATCTGTCCACACAGCGATCTCTTCAGGGCATAGGAATCAAGATGTCTCTTACTTTGCTTAGAAGTACAACAGTCATACTAGACTAGGGCCCCACCCTACCACAGGGACCTCATTTACAAAGTGCCTCCTTGAAGTCCTTTCACTAAATACAATCACATTGGAAGCTAGGGCTGAACATATGAATGGAGCTAGTGTTAGAGTATGTACACATATGGTGTTAAATAAGTCAGATTCTTTCTAGATAAAGAGAAAGCTTCTGTTTTCATGGAATTTTCATTACATGAGAGACATGGAAAATAAGAAATGCAAACACTATAATACTATAAAATAATGAAATTATGGTAGGGTACATGAAGAGTGGCCAGTTGGGGAAAAAAATGCCAAGTTGGTCTGTTAGATCCAGGGATGATATCTGAAGAGGTGAGACCAAAATAAAAACAAGTGACCTTTACTGAGGAAGGCAAGCTTAAATTTATACCTGCCTTAGAAGCCATATAGAAGTCCATGCCATACCAGAACATGGAACCATGTGCTACATGTGAATCTGAGGGCACAGCGGAAGTACCCTGGATCCTCCCTGGGGAGGAGATGATGATTTAAGCATTGAGTATTTAGCTCTTTGGGGCCTTGGCCTCCAAGATGGGTTTTCTTGCCCACTGACACTCAACATGCAGTGAAGAACAGTGCTTGAAGAACCTTCAAGTCTTCTGAGTTCCTGGGCCTCTTAATATGTACTTAAATAACTTTCCACCTCAGTCTTTTCTTTTTTTAAATGATTTTTTTTATTATTTTTTGGAGAATGTCATACTATGTGTTTTGTGTTTTATTCTTGTTTTCCACCCCTCATGCTTCCCCTTAATGACTCAACCCACCTCTTCCCAACTTTGTGTTGTGTGTGTGTGTGTGAGAGAGAGAGAGAGAGAGAGAGAGAGAGAGAAAGAGAGACCAATAGACTCCAATTTGCACATATACTTCTAGATATGAGAGTATGGAACTTAATTGCTCTACGAGGAGCCATACCCTTAAAGAAAACTGACTTGCCCTCTCTCAGAAGCAATCAACTGTCCATAGCTCCTCATTTGGGGATTGGGGCTCATGAGCTCTTCCATGTTCTATGCCAAATGTTAACTGGCTTGATCTTGCTCTTCGTTCTTGAGAGCAGTGGTCCTGTTATGTCCAGAAGACACTGTCTTCCTTTTATCCTCCCTGACCTCTTACAGCCTTTCCTCTCCCTTTTCATGATGGTCCCTGAGCCTTAGGGAGCATCTCCCAGTTTTCTAAAGGGAATTTAGACAACGAAAGCAGAGCAGGAGTGCATATTCTCACCACTTGAGCTGAGTGCAGTTCACGTATCTTTTCACTCTCTTCTTTAAATGTGTTTCTGATGTGCTGGACAGAATCAAGAACCGACTCAGGATGATGAGCATTCTATGTCCACATATGTTTAAAAACAGTTGAACGTTTTGCCATAGTCTTCCTAAAGAATGCAGTGTGTTGTTTTTGGTGTGTGTGTGTGTGTGTGTGTGTGTGTGTGTGTGTGTTTACAACAAGTGTTTTATAAGCCCTGATTAAACTACTATTTTTTCTCTATGGTTTATCTGAAGTCCATAATAACAAAGGTATCTGAAGGAAACTGTTGTCTTCCAACTTACTCTTCTGCTCACTGTGTGACTTGCTACAAAAGCGTGCTATAGGTTTTGAAACCAACAAATAGAAATGACAATTGCATCGGTTGAGAACTTAACCTTATGCACTTTCCATAAAAAACTTTTGAAATTCTTTTGAATTTTGCAGCTATGATTTCAGCTATTATATGCTGTCAGCATAATGTGTCCAACAGTAAAATAATTCTAGACTTACAGACTTCCCCCAAGGTTACCTTCAAAAATAAAGGGTGTGGAACTACAAGAAATTGTTTTCCTTTTTAATTCTGGGTAAACTATTTTTGAGGGTTTTTACTTCTTTAGGACTTCAATTTTGCTTAAAGAGTCAGAAAAAAAATAAAAATGGGTTATGTAGCTGAGCCCAGATGAGGACTTACATGTCCTTGATGCTGAACATACAGATTGTCTCATTGCCTCCTGTTATCCCACCCCAGCCCCCAACAACTACACCAGTATCTGAAATCACTGAACACTATGTGAGTGTTCTTGAGAGAAACAATGGGGAAAGCATAACCCTAAGGTCTGCTTCAGTCATGTTCTGCAGATTCTGGGAGACAGACATTCTGCTTTCCACTAACAACATAGTCCTCTGTAATTCTGAGAGAATGGCAATCCTTTTACTAGTCTCCTGAGTATAATCAGTGCTGATTCTAATAAGCTAGGAGTGCTGCAAAGGGAGAAACAAATTGATACACTCCTTCTAAGGCAATGCCACAGATAGTAATTCATTATATGTAAAATAGGGATCTGGATAATTATTATCCACCTATACATTATTCACAGTTTTAAGTGGGGTTTTTTTCTGTTTGAATCATAACCTATTACAGAATGAATACCTAAATGAGGATGTGGATGCTAGAGTTATTGAATATGAAGACAACCGGCCTCTCCTAGACATGTTTCTGCAGAAACCAATGGGTTTATTGTCCTTGCTTGATGAGGAAAGCAGATTTCCTAAGGCCACTGATCAGACCCTCATTGGTGAGTTCTAAGCCCAGCGTGACTCTATGACCTTATGAAGGCACAAGGAAAGTTACGATGATTTTTAATTGTTTTCATGATTTGGGAGAAAACAGCTGTCAAAAAAGCCTGCACTATCTGGTTTCCAATAAGTGATTTTGGACTTAATGCCTAGACTTGTGTTTATAACAGGGTAAAATTCTTAGTGATGGATTAAACAAAATTGGAAATTAGATGTCTGATTCCCTTATGGAAGAAACTCAAATGTTGAATCTTGGATTATAAACCACCATAAAAATTACCCAACCCCAAGTTAAAAATGGGTGGGGAGAATAGAAAGACAGCTCTAGAATGCAAAAGGAAATAACAAGCAAAGATGTAAAAATCAGTAATGTGAATAAAAAAAAATATTTTTTCGTGTGTGTGTGTGCACACGCGTGCACAATAGGGGAGGGGAAGGGCGTTGCTCCTCTGTGCTTGCACATGTTGAAGCCAGAGGTTGACCTCAGATGTCTTGTTCTACTACCGTCCATCTTAGTTTATGAGGAGGGTCTCGCCCTGGGCCTGAAGCTCACTGTTTCAGCTAGACTGGCTGACCAGAACACTCCAGCTCCACCTATATGCCTGGAGCCGGGATTACAAGCAGGCACCCTAGCAGCTTTTGTGGGGGTTCTAGGAGGCAGATCTCAGGTCCTCAGTACCTCACCCACTAAGCCAGCTCCCCAGTCTTCACAATAAAGAAAATTGTATATCAATATATCTAATTTATGCAGATTTGGGATGTTAGTGATAAAGCAAGACTTTATTACAATCAGAGCAAAATTGTCCGAGTCTGGGGACAGACATGACCCAGCTGGTAAAAGGTGCACTTGCTTAATGCACAGCTGAGTTCTCTAGAGGAATAGACTCTACAGGGTGAACATATATAACAAAAGGGAGTATATTAGATTGTCTGGCATGATGCAGTCTGAGTAGCCCAACAGTGGCTGTCTATATGCTAGAGAGGCTGAGGGCCTAGTAGCTAGCTTACAGCACACAAGGCTGGATACCTCAGAAGTTGTAATCTCAAACGGAAGCCCCTGGAGGGTCTTCTGAGGGTTCCTGGTCTCCTCCCCATGTTGAAAGGCCAGAGAAGCTGTGCTGATGTCCCAGAAAACAGCAGCAAGAGCAAAGGGAAAGATCAGGGCTCAAGAGCAAGAAGGGAGGGGAGCCAACAGACAGCCTGCTCCTCCTTCAGACCTTTCTATATCTGGGCCACAGCCAGAAGGCCCTACCTACTCAGGGGGAGAGTTTCCTCCCCTAAATGTATCCTTCCAGAAAATAATCTCATAGACCCACCCACAAGCCTGTCTCATGGTAGATTCCAGATCTAATCAAGTTGGCAATAAGAGTAACATCACTCCAGCATGCACAGAACCCTGGGCTTGGTGTCTCGTACTTTGCAAACTGGGTTTGGTGGTGCATGCTTCTGATTCAAGCAGTCAGGAGGTGGAGGCTAAAGGGTCAGATATTCAAGGTTATCCTTGGCTACACAGCAAGCCATAATGAGAGCCTGTCTCAGGAAGAAAGAAGTTAAAATGTAAGTATCCAACTTAAAATAGAAGAGGGGGGGTAATTTAATGTGGAATGCCTTATTCCCTGATGGTGGCGATATTCCTGACATACGTGCAAGCACTTAAAAAAATTCATTTTTTTTCCTCATTTACTTTCAGTAAGTATGGCATTGGTTTGTCCTGACATGATGGTTGTTTGTCCTCTGGACACCAGACAGGAAAAAAAATCATGGGGGAAATAATTTCACAGCAGGTGTTTGATGTGCTAAAATTCTCATAGAAATATGACTGCCTTAATGAACCCATCGTAATCAAATAGAAAAGGCAACCACGGGGCTTCACAGTATGGCTTTCACACCGGCGGCATCCGCAGGTAGGGGCCTGAGACCACCAAGCGCTGAGTTCACCGGGCGAGACCCAGTCACCTGCAGCTCCACAGGTCTCCAGGTGACTTTAACCCATTCTGACACTGGAGACCTGCTCTAAGCCATGACGCAGGGGGAAACGTTTGATTGACGGTGTTGCTTTGCCATTAATATTCCAAATCTTGGTGAATTCAGTGTATTAAACTGTCTCTGTTCAGCATGCATTGTGTGGGAAAAAACTAACTTCTGATGATCAATTTTACTTGAGGATCTCCTGTCCACTTAATATTGGAGTTCAATTTTCTTCTGCAGAAAAGTTTGAAGACAACCTGAAATCACAGTACTTCTGGAGACCCAAGAGAATGGAGCTGAGTTTTGGGATTCACCACTATGCGGGAAAAGTAAGAACTCATGGGAACTGTGACTGTTTCTCCATCATTTTGTCAATGAAGTATTGAGACCCCAGACTATTGGGAGATAGTGATAGTGAGGTGGCCACATCCCATCTCTATCTGGTCCTAATTTTTCTGATAGCCTGTCTTCCTGATCATTCAGTCTGGCTAGCTGGCAGTGATTAAATATATTTTACTCTATTAAACAATAGTTTGGGGTCTTTTCCAGATCTGTCTCTTCCCATTTTTCAAGGAGTGGCAGTCCTTCTCTTCCCCAGTTCTCTCTCTTCCTCTCTGTCACCCTCTCTCTCTTTCTATCACTTTCTTTCTTAGTCTCTCTCCTTTTCTCTCCTCTCTCTTCCTCCCTCTCCCTCTTTTTCTCTTTCCCTCTCTTCTCAACTCCACTCTTTAGCCAATGCTTCTCCCTGCTCTTCATATGAGAAAGAGATAAAGAGAGAATACTAAGGGAACTAGTCAGCAAGCAAAGCTGCCCCAGATGTGTGACGCTGACTAATGGATGGTCTTGAATTTAGAGAAGCATTCATACATTGGTTGAAACACGGTTGCACACCTGTCAAACACAAGATATACTGTCTTACACCCAGGAGACACTTTCTCTTCCATGAAGTACAATGTGCCATCCCCTCAGAACTATGCCATAACTGTTGACGTATGAAGATTAAAATCCAGAGAGCATGTATAATACAATAAATCATTGAAAACCAAACTAACTGAGAAGTCCTGTATTTTTGTCCACTAAGCCCCTTCCCTGGGCTGGGAATATCCAATGACTTTTGTCATTAACAATATATCCTTTAAGTTGTGAGGCTGGAGAGAGGCTCAGTGGTTAAGAGCACTGGCTGCTCTTCCATAGAACTAGAGGGTTCAATTCCCAGCACCCACATGGCAGCTAACAACTCTTTTTAACTCCAATTCCAAAGAAGTTCCTCTTCTGGCCTCGGTGGACACTGCACATATATGGTGCATAGACATTCATGCAGGCAACATACACATAAATGTTTTTAATTTTTCAAGAAATATGTATACCCTAAGTAATTTTCATTATAACCGTTCTTAATCCTTAGAGTTTGACTTACCAAATAAAGGCTGCTTTGATCACCAATTAAAATTGCCTGTGACCATTTTATTCAGTACTTTTCTTTTACTGGTACCCAGGATCCCAGCATCCCTGTTTGCTGCACTACTCAATGCACACTTAGGTGTAGGGACACTCAGAGCCATGCAAGTTGTTCCAGCAAATTACTGTCAGAGTAACAGCTCTTTAGTTTCTCAGAACTAGCTTCATTACTGGAAAAAAAAAAAAAGAAGACTGAATATTTTCCCTCACTGTACTTCTTAATCTGAAATATCAGTTTCTTAGAGTAAAACAAGAAGGGAGGAAGTTTTGGAGACACATTTCACAGCAGCAAGTTTGTCAGTTTAAATTTCATCCTTGCTTTTGTCGCCTGTAAATTTTCATTTCCATAGCTTCACAGTAGGACAAGATAAAAATGCAGATAAACAAGTTTTACCTGTTAGGGTCCAGATGTGTCCTTCTTTGAACTCCTGTGGCCTTTTCAGGCATCTCCATTGTTTGGTGATTCTGTCTTGAGGTGCTCTGCCCTTATGAGTGGTAGATTCCTATTCTTGGGTTAGTGGCATAATGTGTCATCTCAGGAACAGCTACATAACAAACACGAGCTCTCCCTGCCTCAGTTGCTCTGTCTTATCACTCAGCAGTGGAAGAAGCCTCTCTGCAGAGGCAAAGGAGGTGCACTTTCAAGCCTTCTCGACTGTGAGCTACATAAACCCTCTTTTGTTAAAAGTTTCTCAGAGCCTGGAATTCAGTTACAGCAACTAAAATCAGAGTGAGTCCCTTCATCCCAGCCAAGCTCCATATGGCGCTACTTTCCATAACGAGGCACTGAGTCTTCAGGTTTCTTTTCAAGTTCACTGTCCAATGTCACTGGATGGCTACTGTCAGGAAGGATGGAGGAAAGTCAGGAGAAGGCTGCTTAATGGTGAGTTGGGCTGGCTCAGGTTTAATCACAGCTCTGAACTCAAGCATAAATGTCACCAGTCATCTTTTAACTCATTGGCCACATCTACAGAGCATCTATGAACTAAGAGCCTGGTTTAATTTTGGACTTAAGCATGTAACCTTATTCTCAGACCTTTAACCTGGTGTAAATCATTCAGTCTTTAATCAAGCAATATGTCCAAGCAAATGGCTTTCTCTGGACCTCCATCACCGACTCACAATGATCCAGGCATCTCCACTTTAACTTCTTCTATAAAACTCCCCAGTGCTTTTGGAACCTGCTTCCATAAACATCTCTGAGGTCTAAAAGTATCCAAATTATGTTGGACATTTCAATACAAGGATACGCTAAAACAATTATTAGCATAATAATACTAGTGGATTCCTCCAAAACTATATTTTGTTGATTCTGTCACAAACTACTTCTCAGAAGAACACATATTCATTCAACCATGATGCTCAGCAAAGTTTAAAAATAGCAATTTTATACTAAAAATCAATTATAATTTCCTAGCAAAGCTTTGACTTTGAAAATTTGCCTTAAAATTTTAGTCCATAAATAAAAGTCCCGAGTCAAAAAACGACTCTTTGCTTCAATATAAGAAGTGAATCACCAAACTGCTGATGGTAATAGATTTCTGATGGAAGCCAAAAAAGCATTTGTGTATTCAGACAGTTGAATTGAAATTTAAATAGAGGGTAGTGCTTGGCCCTCACAGGAATGGCACAACAAACCTGCCTGGTAAGCAAATAGGTGGTGGAGAGATGGAAGAGGAAAAGAAGCCAAACATTTTTTGCACTACGAAGAGAGGTGGAACTGGTGACTCAAAAGTGGGACCCCCTTGGGAGATGAGGATGGTTCTTTGAGAAAAATCAACAAAATCGACAAACCTTAAAGAAATTAACTAAAAGGCAAAGAGATACTATCCAAATCAACAAAGTCAGAAATGAAAAGGGGGACATAACAACAGACACTGAGGAAATCTAAACAATCATTCGGTCTTACTTCAAAAGCCTGTATGCCACAAAATTTAGAAATCTTAATGAAATGGACAATTTTCTTGATCGGTTCCATTAACCAAAGCTGAACCAAGATTGAGTAAATAAATTAAATAGTCCTATATCCACTAAAGAAATAGAAACAGTCATCAAAATTCTCCCAGGACCTAGGAGCCAGACAGTTTCAGCACAGAATTCTACCAAACCTTCAAAGAAAAGCTAACACCAATATTCTTCAAACTATTCCACAAAATAGAAACAGAAGGAACATTACCAAACTCGTTCTATAAACCCACAGTCACCTTTATACCAAAACCTCACGAAGACCCAACAAAGAAAGAATTTTAGATCAATTTCCCTATGAACATTGACGCAAAAATACTCAATAAAATACTTGCAAACCAAATCCAAGAACATATCAAAGATATCATCCACTATGACCAAGTAGGCTTCATCCCAGGTATGCAGGGGTGGTTCAATATATGGAAATCCATCAATGTAACCCACCATATAAACAGACTGAAAGAGAAAAAAATAAAATAAAATATGATCATCTCATTAAATGCCAAAAAAGCATCTGACAAAGTCCAACACCCATTCATGTTCAAAGTCTTGGAGAGATCCGGTATACAAGGCACATACCTAAACATAGTAAAAGCAACACACAGCAAGCCTATAGCCTACATCAAACTAAACAGAGAAAAACTTAAATCAATCCCACTGAAATCAGGGACAAAGCAAAGATGCCCACTCTCCATATCTCTTCAACATAATACTTAAAGTCCTTGCTAGAGCAATAAGACAACTAAAGGAGATCAGGGGGATTCAAATAGGAAAAGAAGAAGTCAAAGTATCACTATTTGAAGATAATATGATAGTATACCTTAGTGAACCCAAAAATTCAACCTACTCCTACAGCTGATAAACACCTTCAGCAAAGTGGCTAGATACAAAATTAACTCAGGAAAATCAATAGCCCTCCTGTATACAAAAGAAAAATGGGCTGAGAAAGAAATTAGGGGAAACAATTCCCTGCACAATAGCCACAAAAAAAGTATCTTGGTGTAACTCTAACTAAAGACTTGTATGAAAAAAACTTCAAGTCTCTGAAGAAAGAAATAGAAGAAGATATCAGAAGATGGAAAGATCTCCTGCAGAGACTGACGCACCAACCAAGGACCATGCATGGAGAGGACCTAGACCCCTGCTCAGATGTAGCCTATTGGCAGCTCAATGTCCTGTGGGTTCCCAAGTAAGGGGAGCAGGGGCTGCCTCTGTAATGAACTCTACTGCTATTTTTTGATCACTTGTTCCTGGTGATGCAGCCTTGCCAGACCATAGAGGAAAAGGAGCCAGGCAGTCCAGATGAGATTTGCAAGGCCATAGCTGGAGAGGAAGACTCCCTCTTTCACTGGACCTGGGAAGGGGATGGGGGGAAGAAGAAAGGAGGGCAGGACTGGAAGGAGTTGAGGAAGGGGGTTTCAATCGGGATATATAATGAATAAAGTGATAAAAAAAACTCAAAGAAAATAAAATGTGTTATATGGTTCAAAACAAGAGTACTGGCTGAATGCTCATACAGGAGAAATTTATTATTGTTCTAGAAGCTGAAAGTGTGAGACCAAAGGGCCCTGAGTGGGTTGTTGATGAAGCCTCTCCTCCTGGCCTGTAGACAGATTCACCCCTCCCAGTTCTCCCATGGCCTGTTTTCTGTGTAACTACAGACATCTTTAACACAAGTTCTGGAGGGACATGATTCACTCCATCAGAAATCTTTGGCATATGTTCATATTTTTTAAGTCTTAAAATTATTTAAAAGTAGGCCTAGAGAAGTGGGTCTGGTTGCTATTCCATAGGACCCTGGTTTGATTCCCAGCACCCACATGGTAACTCACAACTGTCTGTAACTCCAGTTCCAAGGGAACTGCTGCCCTCTTATTCTGCAGGCACTGTAGGTACGTGCTGTGCAGACATATATGTAGGCAAAACACCCACACACGTAAAGTAAATACATTAGAAAATATTTAGAAGTGCCAGAAACATACCCCTATTGTGAAGAGTCTCCAAGTTAGGTAAGACCTATCACACTGAAGTCAGCAGAGCTGACAGATCCTCAGAGAGAAACAGAGATGGCTCTAAGGAGCTTTTCTGATCTAATGGCAAGTAATTGCATGCAAAATCTTCTATGTCTGTTGTTCAGTAAGGACTGAGCTTTCATTAAGGTTTGAGGATGAGTGATGGCAGGGGTTGTAATAATCTCCATAATACTATGTATCAACAGGTCCTCTATAGTGCTAGTGGGTTCTTGGCTAAAAACAGAGACACTCTCCCAACGGATATCGTGTTGCTTTTGAGGTCTTCAGAAAACAGTGTAATTCAGCAACTTGTCAACCACCCACTAACCAAAACAGGTAAGGCAACTGACTTTTGAGAAGTTCCTCTAAGCCCCATCAAGTAGTCCACAATTTTTCATGTTTCTTTATCTTTTCAACTTACTAAATATTCACCTAATCTTAATCTGAGGGAGTCATAAAAATCAATATAAAGAAGCAATGCTTTTATAAAGAAAAGTATTTTGAGATCCTCACCAGAAAACATGTAAGAGTTGACTCCTCAAAAGCAAACCTGCTCTTCTGAGGAGTGGGAAGCTGCAGGTGGTCCCTGGTGCTCATGAGCTCTCTATTCAGAAGCTCATATTATCCCACCCCTTTCTCCTCTCCTCCTTGCACAGCCTCACTTTTATTTATTGGGGGAAAATACATGATTTGAGTTCTTTATATTGTAGCTTAAAATTGTTCTGTAAAGTTTTTAGTAGTTTTATTGATGTATAACGTAAATATTTAACCGACAAAACTTTGTTGTTTTCACAAATACAGAGACGCCACACATGCGCTCTCATGAACAATAGTGAGCATATTAATCACACACGTGGTGTTCCTCACAACCACTGTAATCTCCTTCTCTCCCCAAAAGCCCTTCCCTTCTCTGATTGTTCAAACACAATGTGCTGAAAACGTTATTCTCCCTCCCTTGAATTGCTTTGACATCCTTAAACATATTTATAATAGTCTGGTTCTGGACTCTTTGCCAGTCATGCATATGATTACATTTCATTAAAATACTTTAAAAAAAAAGCCTTATTTATGTATTCACCTACATAATATGTCCCAATAGCAACTCAACTAAGAACAACAGCTGTGATTCAAGGCTGTCTTTCTGGCTTTTACAGCGTTAACTATTTCACTGCCTTGAATTGTACAAAGCGCACACCTGAATGTTAAGATTGAAAAATCATATTGACTTCACTCACATGTGATTGTGGGGCTCACTGTGAAGCCCACCTTGAGTTAAAGAAAATCTCAGAAATTACTTAAGACACCTTTATCACGCTCTGCTCATGTCTCCTCATAACTGAGAGATCTGTCAGTCGCGTCTACCTTTCCCATTTTGTCAAACTAGGAGGCTGATTTTCTTTTTGTATGTAGTTTGGAGTTTGTGGTAGCTGGGCATGGCAGTACATGTCTGTGCTCCTGGAAGTCAGGAGGCTGAAGCAGGAGTATTGTCGTGAGTGTGAGGTCATCCTGGACCATATAGCAAGATCCTCTCAGAGATCCTGAGAAATAAAAGGAAGAGGACCAGGAGAGAGAAGATGGAGAAAAGGGAAAGAGACAAAAACAAAAGCAGAAAAAAAGATTTATTATAGCTGGGCTGTATTATAGCTGGTGCATGCCTTTAATCCCAGCACTCAGGGAGTAGAGGCAGTTGTGTCTCTGAGTTTGAGGCCAGTCTGGTCTACAGAGTGAGTTCCAGGACAGCCAGGGCTACTCAGAGAAATCCTGTCTTAAAAAACAAACAAACAAAAATTTATTATAAATTTTCACATATTATTCCTTATCCTTGTTTGAATAAATAGGTAAACAAGGCTTAATACCAAGTCTTACACTCAGGCTACTTTAAAAAATGGGGAAATTATCTAGCCACTAAGTATCTAAAAGATAAATTAATTTTATTTACATTCCCATAGGTAATCTGCCATTTTCTAAAACTAAAACTATAATAAACTATCAGATGAGGAATTCAGAAAAATCCACAAACCTGACCAAGGTAAGAATATGTATATTATTGTTGCTTAACTGACAGCAGCTAAAACATCATGCCTTTTTATACATTCATAATTCTTTAATCTTTAAATTTTATACTGTTGCCAAATAAAAAAGTACATATGGCCAGAGTCAGAAACATTCATGTCTGCACAAGAGCAGTCAACATGCCAATGTGACTGACACAGCAGCCCCTAAATTACAAGTAGCAATAGCGTCTGTGGTTTTGTGCATTTAGACACCTAGACTAAAATAGACTAATGGAAAACGCCGTGTACTCTTTGTAGATCACGGTATGCAGAACGTGGTAAGGACTTACTGTCTCCTTTGGTCTCCTTAGGGTGAAACTAGAGAAGTCACACGCCATGCCTGTGAAACCACCAACATGAGAACGCAAACAGTCGCATCATATTTTAGAGTAAGATGTTAAACTATGCTGTGTTGTATTTAGGGATACTATTCATTCCACATAAGTCAGATACAACAAAGAGGCAACTGACAAAAGCAAGCACTTATTGTACCCACTGACTGCGTTGGACACAGGGAATGCCAGCACATAGTTTCATTTGTAGATTTGTTTATTTTAATATTTCACTCGTGAAATATTGCACCCCGTGAAAATTACAATAAAAGTCAATAACTTCATTAAATTTTTTTCATATAAATTGGACATGGTGGCACCTTTAATCCCAGCACTTGATAGGCAGAGGCTAGCATTTCTGTTGAATTCAAAACCACCCTAGCCTACATAGCAAGTTCTGTGACAGCCATGACCCCTAGTAAGACCCTGTCTCAAAAAAAAAAAAAAAAAAAAAAACAGAGGAAGAGAGAAAACCAAAACAAAATGGGCAGAGTGGTGCATGCCTTTAATCCTGGGAATTAAAGGGCAGAGCTCTATGAGTTTCAGGCCAGCCTGGTCTACAGAGCGAGTTCCAGGACAGCCAATTATATAGCAAAAAAAAAAAAAGCTAAATACACACACACAGGCACACACGTACATGTACATACATACATACATACATGCATACATACATACATACATAAATGAGTCTGTACTGCCAGTGTACTCCCACTAGAAATTTTTTTTTTAAAAAAAGAATTTTTACTTTAATACCCCGAATGGTTTTAGGATGATGGATGGGGGAGGTTGAGCATGGATCTCCAGCCCATAATTTCTTACACATACACAAGCTGATACTCTCACCAGGAGACAAGAGGACTGGGGCAAGGCAGAGATTACCAGACACATTAGCACTCCAGGGCGTAGGGACAAGTGGCCTTTTTCTGGGCAATATGGGAGAAAGCAAAGGAAGGACACACTTCTCCCAGTTTGTTGAAAAACCTGAGATAACCACTCTTAGGATAGTTCCTGTGTTCACTATCTCTTCTGAACCAGCCATTCAGGATGATAGAGAAAATACCACCTACACTTGGAAATCACTAATAATATCAGTTAATATGGAAGACATACATGCAATCAGATTGCACTTGCGATTGGTGTCCAGTGGATTTATGCACTTCTCTAGGGAAATCCTGAACCACCTTTTAAAACTGTCCAAATACTTGTGTATCCAAGAATATGTGTATTCTCACAGCCCTAACTTCAAGGGAATCCTACTTGAGTATTGCCTGGTATACTTAGGTGCTTACGGCCTGAGTCCCCTGCTCATCAGTCCCTTTATGCCATCAAGACAGCACATGTGAATCACTAAGTATACTCACAGCCAGATTAGTTTATTTTTTAAGTGAGTTGTCCACACCATTATCATATCACCGTTGTTAGCATCAAACACTGGGTGTGTGTTAAACAAAATCATTTTCATCTTCAGTCGCAAGTAAAAATTGACGGGATAATTCCATGCAGTGTGTAACATGTTCTCGAGCTATTTTTAATTCTGCTGACAAGAATGAAGGAGGGTAAATATGCCTTAGTCCTAAAAAGACCCAAGTGCCTAATTTGCTCAGAGAGCTAGCAGGCATTGTCACCTTTGGATGCCCAGAGCCTGGCAGATGTTTGTATGACTAAAGGAACGATGACTCACAGATAATGTAATGAAAGGGCTCCAGAGTGGCAGATGCAGCTGTTTGGGAAGATGATATCTGAGCTGGTCCCCAAGAGGAAAGCGTGAAACGCAGCAGATTTATCAGTTGTCTGACTCCAGTACTTGATTGCACAGGCCCTGAGACTCTAGATGTCTGCATTTCTAACAGAAAGACTCAGTCCTCCAGGCTGTGTCTGTTCACTGCTTTGCCAAGAAGTTCTGATACCACTCATGGAAATAATTATTCTGCTGAGGTTCCACTTTTAATGCACTCTTTCAATCCTAATATATTATTCTTAATTGACTGACAATCAGCTACTATTTTAATAAATCATTGGTAGCATATACAGTTTTATCTATATCAGTAAAAATATTCTCCTCAAACCAATGAGATGGTAAACTATAACAGAGTAAAATCATTTTTATTCTTTTTATATGTGTCCTTTATATGAAACTAATTTCTCTGCCCTAATTTTAAACTAGATGATTCCACTGAGATTAAAGTGTCTGCTTCTTATAACTGCCTACAAAGACAGAGTAGGACAAGGAAATTAGGATAGAAAGTAAATTAACCAAATTGATGCTTGCTTGAGAGTATATATGCATATATATCAAGAGAGAGAGAAATTATGTAAAAAAATAAAGTTATCACTTAATTAACTTTGCCTTAAAAGTGTTTAGGAAAATTTTTCATAGGCAACCTTGCCTCTATTGCCTCTGCATTTTAATCACTGAATCTGCCATTTTCAGTAATTTTTAACTTAATTGTTTTTCATTATATCAGGTCTCTTTCCACTTACTGTGATTGGCCATTTGTAACATTAATTTTTAAAACTGGAACCTTGTAATAAAAATGAAGCCCTGCAAACTCATTTAATGTCATACCATGAAATTGATTCTTGTTGTATGTTATAGTATTCCTTGATGGATTTGTTATCTAAAATGGTGGTGGGACAACCTCATTTTGTCCGTTGTATCAAGCCAAATAATGAGCGACAGGCAAGAAAATATGACAAAGAGAAAGTTCTGCTACAGCTGCGTTGCACAGGGATTTTGGAAACAGCAAGAATTCGAAGGCTTGGTTACTCACATCGGATACTGTTTGCTAACTTTATAAAGAGGTACGTGGATTCCTTAAGTTTCTGCTGCGCGGCTTCTACTTTTAAAAATCTTCAATAGAACATGAAACAGTCTGGGAGGTCTGTAAAGGACAGAGAATGAGCCATTGTTAACTGAGTCCAGGAAACTGCTGGATCTGGGAGGTCGCTGTTTCTTTTTTTTTTAATACTTGTTGGCTTTATTTTTTATTTATTACAATTTATTTACTTTGTATCGCAGCTGTAGCCTCCTCTCTCTCCCTCATCCCTTCCCAATCCTACCCTCCCTCTCTCTTCTCCTCCCATGTCCCTCCCTAAGTCCACTGATAAGAGGACCTCCTCCCCTTCCATCTGACCCGAGCTTATCAGGTCTCATCAGGACTGGCTGCATTCTCTTCCTCTGTGGCCTAGCAAGGCTGCTCCCCACTCAGAAGGGGATGGTTAAAGAGCCAGCCACTGAGTACATGTCAGAGACAGTCCCTGTTCCCCTTACTAAGGAAGCCACTTGGAGACTGAACTGCCATGGCCTACATCTGTGCAGGGTTTCTAGGTTATCACCATGCAAGGTCCTTGGTTGGCATATCAGTCTCAGAAAAGACCCCTGGGCCCAGATTTTTTGCTTCTGTTGTTCTCTCTGTGGAGTTCCTGTACTCTAGAAACAACCCAGATGTCCCTGAAGTGACGAATGGATACAGAAATTGTGGTATATTTACACAATGGAATACTACTCAGCTATTAAAAACCAGGAAATCATGAAATTTGCAGACAAATGGATAGAACTAAAAAAAGATCATCCTGAGTGAGGTAATCCAGAAGCAGAAAGACACACATGGTATATACTCACTTATAAGTGTATATTAGACATATAATATATGATAAACATACTAAACTCTGTACATCTAAAGAAGCTAAGCAAGAAGGAAGACCCAGGTAAGATGCTCAATCCTCATTCAGAAAGGCAAATGGGGTAGAGATCAGAAAAGGAAGAAAACAGGGAACAGAACAGGAGCCTACCACAGAGGGCCTCTGAAAGGCTTTACCCAGCAGGGTATCAAAGCAAATGCTGAGACTCATAGCCAAACTTTGGGCAGAGTACAGGGAATCTTACAAAAGAAGGGGGAGATAGAAAGATCTGGAAGGTCTCAGTGATGGGAGAAGATGCATGAGAAAAGCTGGAAGGTCAAGGGCCTAAGGTCCTGTATTGAAGAGCTGGGAGAGCTGAGTTATCAGCCCAATGCTACCACTTGCTATGTGGCCATGGAACTACACCAACAATTCTCAAATGGGAAGATGGTGCCCCTCAAAAGATGCTTAGCAGTAGCTGGAGACATTTGGGGATGTCATGCCTTACAGAGGGTGGTTCTCTGACTTAGCGGGTAGAAGGTTGGGATGCTACCAATCATCCCATAAACAGCACACAGGACATTGCCTACAATAATGCTCTCCAGACCCAAATCCCAGCAGCTAAGACCCCTGGCCTCTGTGACATCTCGCTTTCTTCACCTTCTAAGTTTGCTATGACCATCTGATAGAATGGTTATAATGATGAAATTTATTCAATTTGATCATGTCATGTCTATGGAGACTTGGAAGATATAGAAAGTCAATTAAATTTATACATAAATTTAATATTTTCTAACTTAAAAAAGAATCCATTAAGTACAAAGAGTTCTAAACTCTTAGAATCATTGGTAAATTAAATTTTATGTAGTAAATGTATTTTAAATAATGTATTAGTGGTGATGCTAAGGTTCAATATTTTAAACATTTAATATTTTAAATGTCCATGTTTCTGAGAGCTATCAATCCTGTCATTTCTAGTCATCATTATATCTAAAGAAATTTCAAGTTTTAGACATAAAGCAATTTTCAGGAATTTTTAATGTTTAGAGAATTTTCTATCTATACACTTTCCAGTCTTCTTTTTCAAAGTATGCAAAGAAATATTAAGAGTAAAACAAAGCTTTGATTTTGATTGTTCAACAAATTCTGATTATGTCTACACCAAAATGAAGAGGAGGAGGAGGAAAAGGAAGAAGAGGAAAGCTGTAGCATGCTTTCTTTTTCCTGTGTAACTGTAGTCTGTCACCCGAGAGAAGCAACTAGGTAAAGGAGCCATTTGCTTGGGCTCATGGCTTCAGTGATTTCACTCCATGATCAGCTGGCTGTGCTCCTTTTAAACCTATGGCAAGGTAGAAATTTCATGGTGGGAAGGTAGGATGGAAGAAAGCTGCTGTCCTTGTGTCGGCCATGAAGTAGAGGGAGACTAAGAGAAAGACAATTGGGGGGGGGGGATAAGAGACAGGAATGCTGCACCCTTCAGGTGCAGGTGGGTGCAAGCAGGAGCCTCCATGCCTTCAAGTAGCTACTTCCTCCAATGAGATCCCAACTACTGGCAGTCACCAGCCACCCCACGGCGAAGGTAGTGCCCTTGTGACCGGCTTACCTCTTGGCAGCACCACTCCAACAGGCACAGAATCAGCCTTCAACCCCTGTGCCTCTGGGGGCACTTCTACCCAACCCATAACAATGTCTCAGCGATAGTCAACACAGTGAGAACTCTTTCCGATGACACTATTGTTTTTCAGCAATTCATCATAACTTTTTTTCTTTAAAAAATCCAAAAAGAAAAATGAAGGCAGTTTTTTTTAGAATGCCCTGAAATCAAGAACACCCTACTACTTTTTTTTAACATTTTTTTTTATTAATTACACTTTATTCATTTTATATCCCCCCATTAGCCCCTCCCTCCTCCCCTCCCGGTCCCACCCTCCCCCCTTTCTGCATGCATGCCCCTCCCCAAGTCCACTGATAGGGGAGGTCCTCCTCTCCTTCTTACTGATCTTAGTCTATCAGTTCTCATCAGAAGTGGCTGCATTGTCAGCGTTCTAGGTTATCTCCACACATAGTCCTTGGTTGGAGTATGAGTCTCTGGGAAGTTCCCTGTGTTCAAATTTTCTTGTTCTGTTGCTCTCCTTGTGGAGTTCCTGTCCTCTCCAGCTCTTACTATTTCCCACTTCTTACATAAAATTCCATTCACTCTGCCCATCGCTTGGCCATCAGGCTCAGCATCTGCTTTGACAGTCTATACTGCAGAAGCTTTCAGAGGCCCTCTGTGGCAGGTTCCAAGGTTGTTTCCTGTTTTCTTCTGGCTTTCAGAGGCCCTCTGTAGCAGCTTCCTAGGTTGTTTCCTGTTTTCTTTTTCTTCTGATGTCCATCCTCTTTGCCTTTCAGGATGGGGATTGAACATTTTAGTTAGGGTCCTCTCTTTTGCTTAGTTTGTTTAGATGTACAGATTTTAGTGGGTTTATTCTATGTTGTATGTTTATATGAGTGAATATATACCACGTGTGTCTTTTTGCTTCTGGGACAACTCACTCAGGATGATCCTTTCCAGGTCCCACCATTTACCTGCAAATTTCATGATTTCCTTATTTTTCATTGCTGAGTAATACTCCATTGTATAGATGTACCACAGTTTCTGCATCCATTTTTCAGTTGAGGGGCATCTGGGCTATTTCCAGCTTCTGGCTATTACAAATAAAGCTGCTACAAACATGGTTGAGCAAATGTCCTTTTTGTGTACTTGAGCCTCTTTGGAGTATATGCCTAGGAGTGGTATGGCTGGATCTTGAGGAAGCGCTATTCCTAGTTGTCTGAGAAAGCGCCAGATTGATTTCCAGAGTGGTTGTACAAGTTTACATTCCCACCAGCAGTGGAAAAGGGTTACCCTTTCTCCACAACCTCTCTAGCATGTGTTGTCCCTTGAGTTTTTCATCTTGGCCATTCTGATGGGTGTAAGGTGAAATCTCAGGGTTGTTTTGATTTGCATTTCCCTAATGGCTAATGAGGTTGAGCATTTCTTTAAGTGCTTCTCTGCCATTCGATATTCCTCTACAGAGAATTTTCTCTTTAGGTCTGTTCCCCATTTTTTAAGTGGATTGCTTGGTTTGCTGCTTTTCAGCTTCTTTAGTTGTTTATATATACTGGATATGAGTCCTCTGTCAGATAAACGGTTGGTGATGATTCTTTCCCAATCTGTAGGCAGTCGCTTTGTTTTGATGATGGTGTCCTTTGCTTTACAGAAGCTTTTCAATTTCATGAGGTCCCATTTATTGATTGTTGCTTTTAGAGCCTGTGCTGTTGGTGTTCTGTTCAGAAAGTTTTCTCCTGTACCAATGAGTTCTAGAGTATTCCCCACTTTTTTTTTCTAGCCGATTTAATGTGTCTGGTTTTATGTTGAGGTCTTTGATCCACTTGGACTTCAGTTTTGTGCAGGGTGATAAGTATGGATCTATTTTCATTTTTCTACATGTAGACATCCAGTTGGACCAGCACCATTTGTTGAAGATGCTATCTTTTTTCCATTGTATGGTTTTGGCATCTTTGTCAAAAATCAGGTGACCATAAGTGTGTGGGTTTATTTCTGGGTCTTCTGTTCAGTTCCATTGATCCAACATTCTGTTTCTATGCCAGTACCATGCAGTTTTTATAACTGTTGCTCTATAGTACAGCTTGAGATCAGGGATGGAGATACCTCCAGAAGATCTTTTATTGTAGAGGATTGTTTTAGCAATTCTGGGTTTCTTGTTATTCCATACGAAGTTGAGAATTTTTCTTTCCAGGTCTGTAAAGAACTGTGTTGGCAATTTGATGGGAAATGCAATAAATCTGTAGATTGCTTTTGGTAAGATGACCATTTTTACTATGTTAATCCTGCCAAGCCATGAGCATGGGAGATCTTTCCATCTTCTCATATCTTCTTCTAATTCTTTCTTCAGAGACTTGAAATTTTTTTTCATACAAGTCTTTGACTTGCTTGGTTAGGGTTACACCAAGGTACTGTATGTCATTTGTGGCTATTGTGAAGGGTGTTGTTTCTCTAATTTCTTTCTCAGCCCTTTTGTCTTTGGATACAGGAGTGATGCTGATTTTTTTGGAGTTAATTTTGTATCCGGCCACTTTGCTGAAGATGTTTATCAGCTGTAGGAGTTCCCTGGTAGAGTTTTTGGGGTCACTCATGT